GGGCCGGGCCGGGGCCGCGCCTCCCCGGCTCCCTCCTCTCCCTGCTCTTTCCTGCCTAGCGGGCTCTCTGGTGAAGCGGCACGAGCAACCCGGCAAGGGGTCCGTCCGTGTGGATAAAACAGGGGGGAATCAGCTAGCAAATAACACTGAAATCTAATTTTGCTTTTGCTTGCGCTTCCTGTGTTGTTAATGAGTCCTCCTAAAAGTAAGGAGTTTGCTGTAATGTATCAAGGCTTAAGGATGAACAAAAGTAGGCTGGCATTTTTTAAATTAATAAGTTTTTTAAAAAATCCTTAACTTTCTTCAGCTTACACTTTCGGAGTGACTCAGTGATGCTGAGTCACTGCAAGAAGAACACGAGACCAGAGCTATGAAACCAGGCGAGAAGTCCTAAAGCTGCCACGTGGGGTGGGCTCCTGTCGTGGCAAGGTCTGGCACGGGGTCCGGCTGGACCTCTGTGGAGCCTCGGAGAGCCCGTCCCGAAGGTTTTCCCATGGGTTTTGCCCAAGGCTAGATAAGTTCATGAGGTTTTGATTACCGTGATTTCTGGTCTGGTTTAGCCAATTGAATGTGTTGATGTTGCCTTGCTTAAGTTTAATATCTGAAGTAATGACCTGGTCATGTAGAAGTAGTGGACTGACGCAGCAGGAGAGATTTTTCACAACCAGCTCTAAGAGCACCTGCCTGAGCTTGGTACCAAGTCAAAGCTTCGCCCTTCCGTGGTGCCTCCTTGTGAGGAATATCAAATCGCCCTGAGGAGGATGCAGCTGCCCAGCTCGGCTGCGATGTGGCCCTGGCAGCACTCCGGTGCTGCGAATGGTGTCCCCGGAATGGCGGCTTCCCGGGAAGTGCTGCTGCTGGCCTGGGGCTGCCTCGGCCCTGCCAGGAGCAGCCGCTTCCCCCTTCCCAGCGGGGTCCGGCTTGGTGCGAGGGCCGGTGCTGCCAGCGTGTGCCTGGTCGTCACCGCTGCCTCCTGGTGCCCGTTATGGCACGAGCAGCGTCAGTGCAGCTTTCCTAGCTCCTGAGTGTGAGCCGCGTGTCCAGCACAGCGAGCGTGTGGATGGCGCTGTCGCCTCCCTGGGAAAAGCGCCGGCCGTTACAGCAGCAGTAGCCGGAGGGCGAGGTGAGGGCAGTTACCGGGCAGGATTTAGGGGCCTGTGTTCTGCTGTGACCTCTACCCTGATCGCTTCATGTGAGAAGAGCTGCTCTCTGCCTGCGTTCCTTCAGGGAACGTGGTGCCGACCTCCCTTATGTGCTTCCCGATGGAATTGCGGGGTAAGGGCTATGACTGGTTGACAGGCTGCAGACCAGGAATCTGTCTCCAGTTTAGAGATTCTCAAAGTCGAGTCACATTTCACAGCTCCTCTGAGAAACCACTTCCAGTGTGGTGTCGTGTGCGTGGAAAGCTTACGGAATACCTAGCTTTGCTGCGAGTGGGCCTGATTTATTCCTACCCTTATTATTACCAAGGATAAAGAAGAACAAATAATCACAATCCTCTTTATAGAAACTCTTTCCGTTTGACACAGTGTTATGTTGTAATCCCCTACTTTGTGAAGCTAAACAGAACTAATACCTTCAGCCTTTCTTGACATATCACATTTTTTCTGACTCTCCCATTTCCTAAGTTGCTTATGTCCATCTCTGTTGTACCAAGAATTGACCATCTATTTTTAGAAAACAGTTTGATCAAGGGCAATAGAATAGTTGCTTCCAGCTTTAACTACATGACTGAATGAGATCTGGTTTCAGTATCTTCATATGTAATTATATGTAGTTCATCATCCATTTTAGCCTCAAATGTGTGCGTATGTGTCTTCCCCCCCTCCCCCTTCCCTTAGCCCTAATTCTGCTTGTCTATATTGCACCAGTCACTCCTTGTGATTCTGGTCGTCTATATTGCACCAGTCACTCCTTGTGTTCATATGATTTTATTTTTGTCGATTGCAGGCAGTCATTCCAACCTGCCACATTGATTTTTAAACCCCACATCCCTGCAGAGCGTTTCTGGTGCTTATTCACACCCAGCTTGGTGTCAGTTGGAAGCTCGATGAATAAGCTTCTTACTCCATGATCCAAATCACGGGGAAAATATTTACTGGAACTGGACTAAGGGAACAGCCTGGCACAATCCATCTGAGAAGTGGTTTGTGGATTAGAGAACCACTTTTTAAAGAACTTAAAAATCATTTTGTAGTGACTAAATTAGATTCTCAGGTGCTTGAGTAGAGTGACCTTGGCAACAATTTAAAATAAAGTTATTTGCTTAGGATTATTTTTGTTAGCTCTGATCCTAAAAGATGATTTGGGACATTAGAATTAATTACATATATATGTATCAGTAGTGGTTCCAGTGTACTTGATGCTCTTTTAGGCTTGGATGACCATGGAACCTGAAGAAGATGTTTGCACAGCATATAAATTTAGAAGTAGCTTTTTCTGTCAGCATAGTGCTGCTGATTTTGTTATGGGACCAATTTCCTTGTTTCAAAACAAGAATGATATTGTATATTCTGCCTTTTTTCCTTTTTTAAATGCCCTTGCAGAGTATCTAGTACCTTCAAATCAACCTTTTTACCATAGGTTATGAGGTTACATGGACAAATTCTTCTCCTGATTCGTTTTGATTTTATTATCTGCCAAATAGGTTGATTCTCCAAAAGGGCCCTTACCTGAAGTGATGATGGGATTGCTTTGGTGGCTGTCGTTTTATATCCCTTTGCTATCGCCCGCTCTTGCTGGAGGTGTCACCCGAGTCTATTACTTGGGGATCCGTGAGGTGGACTGGAACTATGCTCCATCGGGAAGGAATGTACTTGCTAATCAAAGCATTGAACATGACGTGTAAGTATTCGGTACTGCCTTAAAATAGGTAGTTTTATGTAAGTATTCTGGGGCATCTAAGCAAGCAAGATGCATGATTACGTATCTGATCTTTATGGGCTTAATGGTTAACTTGTTTTATCATAGGAACACAGAGACTATACCACTGGAAAAATGAATATCTGTTTAATTGAGCATGCAGTGACTAATGCCAGTTACATTAGAGGAAAGCACAAATACTCTATAATAGAGCAGATTGTGCAATATGCTACCCCAAGGCTTGGTTTTCCCTAGTTGCAGCTGGTGACCAGCTTGCATATCCTGAAGCATGATGACTTTTCACTTTGATGTAAGTGACTGTAGAGATGGTTGGGTTTTGTTTAAATGGGACTTCAACCTTAGACTTAATGGGAATTTCTGTGTGAAATATTAGGGATGATTAAAATTGTTTTGTGAAGAAATACATCTGCAAGCTGTAACAAGTATGTAGAGTCACTTCAAAAACATTTTTATTTCCGTGTGTACTTTTAAAAAAAAAAAAAAAAAAGTACGTCTCTGTAGATTTATTTCTCTCCCCTACTTCTTTCTTATTTATTTCCAGTTTTTATGGAGACCTATAGAATCTTGATTTGCTCTCAGTTATTTACCTCTACACTACTAAATAAATAACACTGAGGTGTTTGGATATCTGAATTTTGAAACAGCTCAAAAAAAGGTTTGCAGGAGAGGTTCCCAGAAAAACAATAAGCTCTGTCAGCTTAGAGTTGAAAAGTATTTTCTATCTCGAGGTGCTGAATAGACTAAAATATATATGTGTGTGTGTGTATATATATATATTTTCCTTTTTCATGGGAAAAATGAAAAATTCAGGAAAGTAGAAGTAGAAATGAACTCTTGCGGTGGTAACAAACGCTTTTTTGTTTCTTTTCTCATATAAGAGATGAGCAAAAGAGAATGAAATAAAATGCTTTTAAACTTGAAAGCAACTTGATTGCTTGCTGAGACAGAATACTTCTTAGCTAATGGGACTGATTGTTGCTAAGATCATGAGACAGAAACTTTCAGCTGTCATTTAGGCCTCTCCCACTAATACCTGGAGCATGATTCATCTCTTATCTGCTAAGAAATAATCATAAAAAGTATATACTCTTTTGTGTTGACCTTTAGTCCTTTAGGAGGTTTTTAACTCTGAAGTTAGTTATGTGCTGGGGACGTATCTCCCTGAGCAGGCTGTCATTCTACAAATAATCTGAAATCTGTTAACTAGCAAATCACCTTTTAGACTGAATTTTGTCCAGAGAGCTTAGCCTATTCTTCTTGTCTCAGCTACAAAGTCCACAAGGCATTGGGCTTCTAGAAAATCGTTTTAATGACAGGATAAAAAAGAAGGGCCTAAGTCTTCCCTCTCTGGCCTGTGTGCTTGTTGAGGGGAGCAGCAGTGCCTTCCTCCTCTGCGTGCCCAGCATGATTGCTTGTGTGTGTTTTTGCACATCCGTCCACATTTCCTTCGTGACTCTTGTCCCGGATTCCCAAACTGTTAATTTGTTAATGTCCTCCATGTTTTGCATTCTGAGAAAGCAGAGAAATCTAAAGGCTGTGCTGTTTTGTTTTAGTTAGTCTCTACTGGACATCTCACAGCAATCAGCTGTGAGAAAAGTACACTGCTGGCTTAGGGCCCATTAGTGTACAGCATCAAATGCCTTCTGTCATGCCAGAAGTTGTAGGAGTTGAGCAAACTTTGTTGCCATCACTCTTCTGTGTTATAGATCAGCTGTTTTATGAAATGTGACTTAATGGTGCCTTTCCCTTTTCTGAATTTCACAGCAAGGCTTCAGTGTTCCTCCAGCCTGGCACAGACCGAGTGGGAGGCATGTACAGGAAATCTGTCTATAAGCAATACACAGACTCCACGTATACCACTGAGATTCCCAAACCTGCCTGGCTGGGGTTTCTCGGGCCCATCATCCGAGCAGAAGTGGGGGATACCATTAAAGTACATCTAAAAAATTTTGCTAGTCGGCCATACACGATCCATCCTCATGGTGTTTTCTATGAGAAGGACTCTGAAGGTAAGTGAACCACTACCATAATGGAGATAGTTTTTTTGATTGGGAATTTAGAAATATGCACAAAGATTTCTGTCAAGAAGCCAAAGACTTGATCAGCCCTAAGCTATATTGCTGGAAAGCAACTGTACTTAGATGGTTAGTGAAGTCATCTGATGCTGAGTTAGTAGATTGCTGGGTCTGGGAGTAATTTCCTGACCTAGGCGTTACAGTTCACAGTCCAGATTTCTTCTCAAATTTAGCAGCTTCACCAAAAGCTCACCAGTGGGAGAACAGCACAGAAGGAGAAGAATTAATTGTCATTAAAGCACTGTACTGTAAGAGTCATGAGTATGCTGAGCCTCGAAGTTTACAAGAATGAGACCAAAGAACTGTTGTTTGGAGCAATCGTAGAGCTTTGAGAGATTGGCTGCAGAGCATTAGAGTTGAGAGCAGAATAACAATAGGCAGAACAGGAATTGTCTTTCTGACTCTGCTGACCTGTGTACTGAGCAAGCTGCCTTGCAATAGCTCTGTGCCCCATTACTCGTTGCGAGAATGATGATTAAACACTCTGTTTGAACGTGGTGAGTCTTGCTTTGAAAGCTATTACCAAAGTGTATATGTGTAGCTATTTCTACTATGCTGGGTGTGAGAGACTCAATATAGAGCTGTGCATATGGATTCTGCTCTTCTTGAATGGTTGTTGTGATTGCTCAATTGTTCTAGGATCCCTGTATCCCGATATGTCCCCCCAGGATCAGAAGAAGGATGATGCTGTTTTCCCAGGAGGGAATTACACCTATACTTGGACTGTCCCTGAAGATCACAGCCCAACTGCTGATGACCCAAACTGCTTGACCTGGATCTACCATTCTCATATTGATGCACCAAAGGATATTGCATCTGGATTAATTGGGCCATTGTTAACATGCAAGAAAGGTTGGGGAAGGCAGCTTAGGGCTGCAGGGTGAGGAGGGTGGTGACTAGAATGAGGGTAGGATGAGGAGATGCTCCAGTTGTGCTGCATCCTGTGAAGCTGGGAGCTGTCTGCTGGAGACCTGTGTTCTAGCTGGACTCTGATAATTACCCTGTGTTTCTTGCTTGCTGGGTGGGTGAGCTTGTAAGCTGCTTTGTGCGAGAGTGTCATCTAAATTTGTATTAGGAATGAGTCTTTTCTAAGACCTGTGTTGAATATTAAAACAGAAAAAAGAGGGGAGAGGAGAGAGGAAAAAAACAAAACAAAACTTAGATTTCAAGAATTGTAAGGACACTGAGGGTTTTGTAGCTCAGGATTGTCAAGCAGTGGTAGAGCTGCTTGGAATGAGAAATATATTAGGAGAGAATGCAATATGAATGTGATTGGTAGAACTCTGCAAAGAACTGGGCTAGAATTGTGAGGAAAAGTGTCAGTCCCTAATTTGTGCAGTAAGACATTATTCTTCTATAGGTGTGTTTAAACTCTTGATTGATGTCAGCTTTTCTCGGTGCTGAGGGTACTCATTCCTCTTTCCTTTGGCCTTAGGGATACTTACTGGCAATTCTCAAAGACGCCGGGATGTGGACATGGATTTCTTTCTGATGTTCAGTGTGGTGGATGAGAACCTAAGCTGGTACCTGGATGAGAACATAGCATCATTCTGTACAGATCCAGGCTCTGTAGACAAAGATGATGAGGAATTCCAAGAAAGCAACAAGATGCACGGTCAGTGTCACCTTTGTGAAACTGCTGGCTTTGTACATATGCTCCAGGGATGGCAGCATTCTGGTATCTTGAAGTGCACTTCTTGTTGTTGTGCCAGAGCACGTGTAGAGGGAAGAGTGGTGATAGCAAACTATGAGGTAGTTCATTAAGCAAACAATGTCACAGGGTCAGTGCAGTAACTCCAGAGAAAAATACATATTAATTTGATTTTATCTTTGACTTCATAGAGCCTGTGTTAAGGATTTGGAAATGCTGGGTATGTTTGTGAAGCTCTGCTCTATAGAATTGGAAAAGGAGGACAGATTCTGGTCAGATCCATCCTCCAAACATCTCTGCACTGTAGGTGGAAGCTCTGAAGACTCTTTTTCTGATTTTGCTTTTGACTTGCTTGGTTTTGCAGCTATTAACGGCTACGTCTTTGGGAACCTCCCTGAGATGACGATGTGTGCTGGGGATTATGTTGCATGGCACCTCTTTGGAATGGGCAATGAAATCGATGTTCACACAGCCTACTTCCATGGAGAGACACTCATCATCAGAGGCCACAGGACAGATGTGGCCAGCCTATTCCCAGCCACTTTTGTCACGGCAGATATGATTCCCAGTAACCCTGGGAGGTGGTTGCTGAGCTGCCAGGTCAATGATCACATACAAGGTAGGGCAGAGGCTGGAACCCATCCTGTGCTCTGTGGCCTTCCTTTTCTCCTGTCGTGGTTCCCTGACATACAGCATGCTAGGGGACAGTACCTAGGGCACTCTTCCTTGCTAACATGACCGCAGGTGAATGGAGTGGATCTGTCCCTTATATGCTGCAATAGATTGATTAGTAATACGCAGGCCAGATATACTAGGGATGGCACCTCCCACTATACAGTATTCTGTGTTGATCCGTCCTGAACACCTTAAGCCTGGCGTAGCTGAATGTTAAGGCAGTGTCCTAAGAGCTCTGATCCAGTAGCAGGCACTTGCATGGCACATCTGAGGGTAGCAGAAGGCTCTATTTGTCTTACATTCATCCTTTCTCGTTTAGTATCTGATATCTAAGGTAAGAAGCTCTGCTTGCCAGTGCAGAAATTTCCTTTCTGTGGGGACAGCTAATCTCTCTTTCCCAGCTGTGGGACTTTGGGGCAGTAAAGGAGGAGCAGCCCGTTCATGACAGGAGGGTTGGCCTGCGTTCATTTTTCTCATCAAACCGGCAGATCGTTAAAGCCTGTGGCCACTGTGTTTTGGGCAGCTGGAATGGGGGCACTCTATGAAGTCCGACCTTGTTCTCGGCAAGCTCCAAAATCCACCCTCAGTGGGAGAATTCGGAAATACTACATAGCTGCGAAGGAAGTGCAGTGGGACTACGGACCCTCCAGACTGGACCAAAGCAGTGGGAAACAGCTGACTGAGGCAGGCAGGTGAGTCAAAGGCCGAAGTGCTTGTAGCTCTATTTGGGGGCCTCTGAGTGGCACAGAGGCTGCTAAGGAAAATGTGAAGGTCTTTCTTAAAATACATGAGCCTGCAATTCACAGAATCACAGAATGCTTAGGGTTGGAAGGGACCTCTAGAGATCATCTAGTCCAACCCCCTGCTCCAGCAGGGAAACCCAGAGCACGTGGCACAGGGTGGCATCCAGGTGGGTTTGGAAGATCTCCACAGAAGGAGACTCCACAACCTCTCTGGGCAGCCTGTTCCAGGGTTCTGTCACCCTAAGAGGAAAGAAGTTCTTCCTCATATGGAGGTGGAACTTCCTGTGTTTCAGCTTACACCCATTACCCCTCATCCTGTCACCGGCCACCATGGGAAAGAGCCTGGCCCCATTCTCCGTACAATCACCCCTCAGGTACTTGAACATGTTAATCAAATCTCCTCGCAGCCTTCTTTCCTCCAGACTAAACTAATTCATGTGGAATAGAGTACTGAAGAAAATATATCAGTCCAGGTACAAATGTAGCCTGCTGTAACTAAACTAGTAGAAACAGTACTAGGCACCTTGGGGAGTTGTACTGGAAGGTGTATGGTGTGTGCACACCTACCTTCAGACTCCAGGGGTAGTCCCACCTTGGGTAGGATAGGAGCTGCATCCCCTCTGGGCTTCATTTCTGCTCACTGTGCTGGGTCTGGAAAGAGCTCTGCAAGTCTGAGCTTACAAAGAAAGCACCTCGTGCAGCAGACACAGGGTGGCAGAGTGAGCCTACTCATGTGCTTCAGTGTTGGCTTGCTGCAACGGTCAAATTCTAGGAAATCAAAACTAGTGACCTTGAGTCCTCCATCCCCTGGGTCAAGCGGTGGTGATAGCAGTTGGTATGTGGCTTCCCTTTCAAAGCCTGGCTAACTGAAACAAAGACATTCCCTGTGAGGCTGCTAGGTGGGATGTTCCTCTTTCAGTTGGAAAAAGTAGAAGTGCAGAGTGGTTAATTTACCCAAAGCCATGCACCAACTCTGTTATAGACCTTTAAAACTGAAAGTTTTGTACATCTGTCACTTGTCCTTGTAACTAAGCTGCCTCTCCTGCAGAGCAGGTTATATCTGTTTGTTTGGGGAAGGTGGTGGCAGTGGCAATAAGTCTCTCTTTACAGCTGTTGTTCTCAGTTGTGACTGCAGTTGTCCTTTGGGTTCTGTCTTGGCCTGGAAAGAACCTGGTGCTGCAGCACCCTTTTTACTGCACTGCGGTTCTGTTTGTTGTCCACGTCTGCACGTCCTGTGCGGGGGGTGCTGAACTCAGCTGCTCTAGATGAAAGTAACGTGCAGACAAATTATGCTGAGCTCTACAGGGTCATTGCAAACTAGAGGATACCCTTTTGGAAAGGTGCTTAACTGGGAGGTGTGGAGTGGAGGACAAACAGGTGGTCTTATGAAAAAAAATAATCTAAAACTTTTTTTTGCATCTAGCCCTTCTGAACAGTTTTTCAAGCGTAGCCCTGACCGAATTGGGGGAGTTTATTGGAAGGCCAAGTATGTGGAATATACTGATGAGACCTTCCGTGAGGAAAAAAAGCAATCGGAAGAAGAGAAACATCTTGGGATACTTGGTAGGAATCATCCAACAACACAAATCCTCTTGGTACCAGTGAGAGTATGTTGGTGTCAGAAATACTGATTGAATGTTACTATCCTTTCATTTCTGGATGTGGTCATTCCCACTGAGATGGTGTTTGACAGCCTTTCAGTAAGGTGGACAGAACTAGGATGTGGAATCACAGCAAAAGGAATCATTTTTCTGACAGTACAGTCTTCAGAGGTTAATAGTTAGGGTTGATGGACATGTTATTTCTGTAATTCTGGCTAAACATGCCTTAGTATTGGCATCTGGTTATGTCTTTTTGACTGAGTGTCTTCAAGATGTGGTCCTAACCCCACTTTCTCACTGAAAGCTTCCTCTCTCAAGAAGGCTCCCTGTTATAGCTAGGTAATGGTGAGGGTGACGAGAGGAGAAAATGGAGAGTCTGCAGAGGAAAACCACTCACCTGCAATAGCGTGTGTCACATACCCAGTAGGAGGGCATTGGTGTGGTCCAGCTTCCTGTATCAGCAGTGACTAATGGCAACAGAAATCCCAGCGAAGACCATAGAAGGAAAGAGCACAAGGAAAATGCAAATTTGGGAAGGAAGGAATAATGGAAAGAGGGGCATGGGAGGAAGTAAGCAACTGTATAAAAGTAAAATTGTGGAGCTGTGTGTAAAGCCATGCAGCATGGCTGAGGCTGATTGGGACACCCAGAACCGGGGAGGCTGCAGAAGATAGAAAGGAAGTATAGGTGGAAGGGCTGCAGTGGGACTGACCTGTTTGTCAGTAACAGATTTTGAGTAACAGGCCGACATGCTGACATGATCCCACTAACCTGCAGGGGGTAGTCCAGGCCTAAATTTGAATCTGGAGAGGCAAGGAGCATAGCTCCGGATCGGAGTGTTGCCTTCGAGCACATCAGGAAGGCCCAATGCCATGCTAGTCAGGGAAAAGTAAAGATACCTAATGAAGTGTGTATGGTGTGTGTGTGTGTGCGCGCACTTGTTTTCTCCTGAATAATTGTGCCACCTACAGCAGAAGTGTTGAGCAGTCTTCTGCCACACAAAGTAGATGCTGGGTAGCTCACGATTACTGGTGCTTTTAAAGCATTTTCAGTTGGGGGACCCCCCATGTGTCATGGCACAGATCTGTACAGATTTTTGTCTGCCTGGACTTTGGGATAGTGGCCTGGCTTTTCTCAGTGGTGTCTCATAGACTGTTAGGAGCAATCAGACTCTCATGAGTCTGCAGGCCAGATGAAAGCCATTAAATATTTTAAAGACTGACAGCTTATTTCTGGCTGGTGCCATGACTCACAGGTGCTCTTAACAGTAAACTAAAATGTGGGTTTCAAGTACCTCACCATTCTTTACGCACCTGCCTGAGGTTGGGAAGTTATGGGGGCTTTATACAGTTGAGGGAGAGGTGTGTTTTTGGAGGATTTTTCAGCACACTTGTCCCTTTTGTTACTCCAGCTGTGAAGCCTCTCCTTTGAACTCTTGCCTTGCAAGCCTTTCAAGCTTGCAAGCTTGCCTTGCAAGCCTTTCAAGTAATTCTTGTCAACTCCCCTGCTCCTTTGCTGAAGTTCAGTAGTGCTGTGCATCATAAACATGTGCAGGAAGTAAAGACTCTCTCTTTTAAGTCAGCAGTTCTGAGCCCTGGAGGACTCTCTTTCTGTTTTAAGTCAGCAGTTCTGAGCCCTGGATTAAAAAAATAGCTGTGTCTTTTGTTTCCCCAGCTATCCTGGTTGACACACTCTCTGCTGTTTATACAGGTCCAGTGATAAAAGCTGAAGTTGGAGATACCATCGTGGTGACATTTGTTAACAAAGCCTCCTGGCCCTTCAGCATCCAGCCTCATGGAGTGTCCTACAGGAAGGAGTGGGAAGGGATGTGGTACCATGATGGTTTGTGGCTTATTTTTCTTGAGTAATTCAATACTAATCCAGGTGGTGGAGCTACATGGTCTATATTGCTCCTGCAGAGAGAGGAGACTTGAATGTGCTCAGAAATCTGTTGGAAGCCTGTTTGGTGCTCTAAGCCTGATGAGGCTTCAGTAAAGCAGAGGAGGGGCAGCAGAAGTAGAGTGCCAGAAGTAATGCTGTTTTGCATGAAAATTATAAACCACAACTGAAACTATTTCCAGTTATTTGAGACCCTCTGATCAGAGGAACATATACACTGTACTCCAGCTTGGATAACCACATTCTTCCAGAGGTCATCCTGCTGGATGTAGCTGGACCCAATTTATTTCCCATACCTATCTCTGCCACGACATCAAAATTACTCTACAAAATGCTAAGAATAGCTGTGTCTGAACACGCTGTAAAAGCTACTATACTGTACCTCAAGCCTCTATTTTTAGAGGTGTGAAGTAAAGCCAGTGTGAATGTAAATGATGAGAAGATGTAGCAAAGCTTGTAAATGAGTCTCAAGAATCCTTACACCAATTTCTGTTTTAAAGGTGTGTCACAGAATGGGTTTTCTGTTGAGCCTCTGCATAACTTTACCTACCGGTGGACGGTACCACAGCACGTTGCACCCACACCTAGTGACCCTCCCTGCCTGACCTGGATGTATAGCTCTGCTGTGAATCCTGTCAGAGACCCCAGCTCGGGCTTGGTGGGCCCTCTGGTGGTCTGCAAGCCTGGGACTCTGGATGAAAACAACAAGCAGGTAAAGCAGATATTACTGACGCGCTCTTAGAGGCTCTTTTAGAGGCATGAAACATCTGCAGAGTCTTAGGAAAAAAACATGAATAAACATATGCAAAGGTAGGAGGTGAAAAGAGTTAAATCCGAGTCGTAGATGGGTTATAGCTGCTGCTTACATTAGGACAGTTCTGTGCCCCAGGTTTTTATGGGAAAGGCTGGCATTTTGAACTCCCAGGAGTCCAATAAACTGACTTCTAGTTTTGACTTTAAATCTCTGGGACAATTTCAGTTGAACACGTGTCTTGGATGTGACTTCATAGGTCAGTCTTGTCCTGAGACATGGGTAGCAGGCTACCCTGTGTTGCACACCAAGATGTTAATCGTTTACTTACAGATGAAAATCTATATGGTTTGCAAGAGTGGTGGGATGCTTTAAGGTTGGGTGAACCTCCTTCTATCAAATCAGCTAATTTTCAAGGAAAGCTGATTACAGAAAAAGCATGAGAAAATCCATTTTAGTTTGTATGCTTTTGATGAAAGAGCTGAAACTCAAAAGGTGACCAGAACTGCCTCTTGGAATTTCATTATGGGATATTCTTCTCTTTCATCCTGGGCAGTAAAATGAAGCTATTGTGTAAATGAAGGACAGATTAACAGAGCTTGTTGTTAGGGGAGAAAAAAGCTGGTGGCAGATGACCAGCCTATCTACCTTGCAGTCTAGAATGGTTTGTGGCTGGAAGATCTGGAAACAGCTTCTGTTGGAGCCTCCCTAGAGGGGTTTCCCTTTCTCCACTTTCATTGGTGAAATGATGTGCCTAGACTTGGAGTCGAGATCAGCAAGTTCAATGGGATATGAAGGTGAATCCTCTGAGGAGAGGGCTCTGTGAACATGTAAAGCCTGCCATGTGAGGGAGACGTGAAAGTGCTAAAATGCTTACAAGTGTTGAAAGGGTCCAACCAAAACAGACTTGTTTGGAAAGGCAGAACAGGGAAAAACACCTGAACTGCTTAATTTGGAAGGCAACAGAGCTACTTCTCATACAACCATATTCTGCAGACTGGAAAACACTTCTCAGCCCCCTCTGCAGGTTGTCTTCCTGCGTATAATTAAGGAAGCTTGTATGAAAAGGAGAAACTGGACAATACTGGAAGAATATTTTTAATGGGGCAATACTTTGAAATGCATTTCTTAAGTTCCTGAAAATGTTACTTCTCTTGTAACTTTAAAAAAAAAATCCTAAGTTCAAGACTGCTGTAGGAGAGAGAGGGGTGAAGCAGTCATTGAGCTGTCTTGTAGGCAGAGGTCTGATCCGAGTTGTGTTCTGGGCAGGTGGTGAAACTTGGCACCTTAAACCTTGGCTGAGTCCTGGTTCCCTATGTGGAACAGCAGGGCACATCTGCGGTGGTGCCCTGTGGAGCAGAAAAGGGTGATCCAGCCTGAGTAGAGGGACAGATCCTGGATCTCGGGAGGTCTGGTGAAAGAAAAGAGGGGAAAATGAGAGCCAGACAAAACAGCTTGAGCTGTAAGGCTGATGGTTAATTGGTGCATTTTAAAAATTAACAGCCATCATTGTGATTATATCTTAGAAAGGGATCGACAAAGAATTTTACCTTCTCTTCAGTGTGTTTGATGAGAATATCAGCTGGTATTTAAATGCAAACATAAAATACTATTTGAGGATGGAAGAGACTTCAGTGAAAAAGGATAATGGCTTCACGGAATCGAACAGGATGCATGGTATGGCATGATGCTGTCCTGCAGGCAGCAGGAGTAAAACTACAAGACATGGGTTGGTGTCCACCTAATCTGGGCTGGGAAACTGGAGAATGAAGTCTCTGGCTGATGTTTGACAGTTAATTGTTCTCACCTTCGCAGCCATCAATGGGTTTATGTTTGGTAACTTGCCTGGGCTGGATGTGTGTGAAGGAGACAACGTGTCCTGGCACCTGCTGGGCTTGGGCACTGAAGCGGATGTGCACGGAGCTGTGTTTCAAGGCAACACCCTGCGGATGAACGGGATGCAGAGGGATTCCACCAACCTGTTCCCCCACACATTTGCTACGGCCTTTATGCAACCCGATAACAAAGGTAACTATCTACACATCTATTTGAGCATCAGGAAAAGCCTGAGGCTGTAGCGTTTGCTCCTACGGCTGGTGTGTTTAGCACTGTGTGACCTGTTATAGAATGAGTTGTGCTTTAGACCCCATTTAGGAGAAGGAGAGGTCCTGCCTTTTGAATCTGTTTCGAGGGAGGAACAGAGAATAGTGGATTTCATCCCATATTGTCCTGGACTGACTCTTAGGGCTGCCACATCCTGTAGTAATGACCCTGATGGACGTTGCTGCCCATGACGCATAGAAACAGGCAAACACACATTTCAAAGCAAAGTAGCACTGAGTTGTCAGAGCTGGGCGTTCTAGTCTGTGCCTCGAGAAGGTTCATGTTTACCTCTGGTCCTGAGCTTCCCGATAGGGTTAAACGTGCAACACCATGTCCCGTTCAGAGGGTGCTGGGCATGTTGCCAACCCTCTCCTCTCCCTTGATGTTTGTAGGCCGGATCTTTTGCTTAACCAGCATCTCAGCAGTGATAACACAGTTGTCCCCTAATGGACTCCTTCGCATCCAATGAGCTGGTTATTGTGTGTGCATGTAAGGAAACCTTCTGAGATGATTCCTATCTAGGACTTGGTGCCTTTTTTGTTTGGTTTCTCTAAAACCCTAACCAAATGCACAGATCTGTACAGCACCCAAAGCTTGTGTCTGTGTCATGACATGGCTCTCATAAGCTTTGTGTGAGAAGCAGCTTTTTTTCTAGGATCTTTAAAACTATCAAATTTCCTTGTTTGTGCTGGCTCCTCCCTCAGGGATTTTTGAGATCTACTGTCAAACGAGCAATCACTACCAGGCCGGGATGAGGGGACGCTACTCTGTTTCCAAGTGCGACCAAACGGCCCCTGCTCCTGCCCGCCGCTACCAGGGCGTGCGGACCTACTACGTGATGGCCGAGGAGGTGGAGTGGGACTACGCGCCCGACCGCGGCTGGGAGCGCGAGCGGCACCACGGCTCCGCGCACAGGTAGCCGCGCTGCCCGGCCGCCTCCGGCACGGGCTCCCCATGCCCTAGCAGGTCTCGCTAGGGTGTTCTGTTGTCACAGGCCACTTATGCTGCTACTGGAGGGGTTCATGGGGGTCACAGCCCCCTAAGTCTCCCTGCCCCTCTTTTCAGCCAAAATCCTTTGCTGGGAGGTGAAGCTTGTTCAGTTAATGAACATCCTAATATGGGCTGGCTCCTTATTCCCTGTGAGTGTTTGGGTAACACAGCAATTCTCTTTGTATTTTTCAGCTATTCCAATGTGTTCTTGAGCAATGAAAATGGACTGCTTGGTTCCAAGTACAAGAAAGCAGTTTATAGGGAATATACTGATGGGACATTCCAGACCCCGAAGGCCAGGATAAATGGTGATGAACATCTAGGGATCCTGGGTAAGGAAATCTGCAGAGGGTGCATTTTCCATTTTCTTTGTGTGGGGCTGGGTCTTAGACTCTGTGGGCTGTGATCTGATGTTCCCCCAGATACTCAAGTATATGCTTTCTTTTCTGCAGGTCTGCAGAAAATCAATAGAGTTCTGAATACAGCCTGCAGCACAACAGACTGGATTCTCATGCCTGCTTTTGCTGCTGGCTGTCTTCGATATCTGTCAGACTATTTTTCCACACCTGCATTTTTTTAAAGTCTAGAACAAAAATAACAGTTAAAACTTTGGGAGAACTGTCTGAGAGATGCAGGTGAAACTTTAGCTGTGAAAGAGATGTTTTGAATGCAAAAGCAGTCAGGCTTTGAGAAATGGAGGAGTGCACTAGAATGCTGAATGGAAGTCCTTGGCGACAGCTCTGGGATATGAATCCAGGACAAGCAGTGCTAGGCCAGCGAGGTGAGGTAGTGTGTGTCATTTAAAATAGCAGCTTGTGGCTCTGACTTTCAACACTTTCAAGCCACATTGAGTATTACAAAGCTATCTGAAGCCAGCAGCGAGGGATGATAAAAATAATGTTACATTTGATGTAGCAGTATTCAGATATCAAGCCTTAATTGCACTGGGCACAGTGAAAATATGCAGCAATCTTCACTTCTGCCTTGAGACATGCAGTCTAGTTCTGTAAGACCTACTTGATTTGGGACCAGCCACTGATTCTCTTTTTGTGGGGCAAGGATGTGGGGGTGAAGAATGAAAGGGTTGTAAGCATTCTTAAAGGGAAAAATACTTGGGAAGGGGAAGATGGTGATAGAGAGGTGGACACATCCTTTGGAGATATGTTGATAATGCTTGCTGATGTTAAAACATGTTCTTTCTGTCTCAAGGCCCTTTTATGTGGTCAGAAGTAGGAGATATTCTCAATATTGTGTTCAAGAACAATGCTACACGACCATACTCCATCCATGCACATGGAGTACTGGAAAAGGAGACAGGAGAGCCACAAGCAGCAAACCCTGGTAAGTCGCTGTGTTCTCCAACTTTATTTCATATACCTGTGCAGGCATTTGAAGCTTATTTTAGCCTACAGTTAGGATTGTTTGTTTTAAATAGGCTTATTTTCTTGCAGTACAGGCTTGGAACCGAATAGGAACAGCTTTCAGGTTCACTATGGTTTTATTAATTATTACCTGTGTGTTGGTAGGGGTCTGGAGGATTTAATGATCTCTGACCTCTGGAATAAGCGCAGCCTTCTCCCCCACGGGGTGCCCATCCTGCCTGGGAAGGAGGGATGAGGACTGTTCATAGCCCCCCTGTTCCTCCGTCTGCCCTGAGCCCTGCGCTGGACGATGGCTACCACAGCGATACAGAAAGCTGCTTGCCAGGACCCAGCCTGAGCCTGTCCATTTGTTTCACTGTCCAGTTGCCAATCCCTGCAGTGTTTGTCCCCCTTCAACTTGTGCATTCTTCAGAACAGGCTCTGTCTGCAAAACAGCTGGCCTTTCAGTTGGGCCCTGTCTTTCTAAGAGATATTGCTAATACCTAGAATAGTAATTTTAAAAGGAAATTTCAATGAGTATTATATTTACTTTCAAGAGTTCACAGATTATCTCAAGCTCCATCTGTAATGAAGACAGTGGAATTTCCTTGGTCAAGGCTAGTCTTGGAAGCAGCAGGTAAAACAGTTGTGCTGATACCAGTTAGCATGTACATCCTGTGACCCGCCTCCACAATCCTGTTTGCTTGTGAGAGGGGAGCCACCATTCTGCTTTTCAGTGTCAGTGAAAAGAAGGTGCAGTGGCTGACACAGAACTGTATTTGCCATTTGGAGTCAGGATCATCATTTTGACCTGTTTTTGGATAGTGCTCAGCAAACTGGGGACTTGCTTCATCACACAAGTGCTAATGGTGCTTTTCTGTCATGCAGGTGACATTGTGACGTACAGATGGGAAGTTCCTGAGAGATCTGGTCCAGGGCCGAATGATTCAGCCTGTGTCCCTTGGATCTACTACTCCATGGTGGACCCCATAAAGGTAAAATCTACTTGGAATTTTAGAATCGTTGTTAGAACCAGAAAAGCCCAGTTAGGCTGATGGTATGTGTGCATACATGTGTGTATATATGTGTTTGTACTTTTTCCCCCTAATCCTCTACAAAACAATGAGTTTGGTCCAGGTGAGAGGAGGAGGAACAATCTGATAACATATCTGGCATTCTCTTTGGAGAGAGAATCCTCCAAATTCATCCTTATCTTTTAGAAAGCAAAAGCTTATCCTTTTGCTTTCTAAATGCACACTCTTGTAAAGCAGTTCCACTGTTCCCTTGATAATAAGCTGTGTTCAGTTATTTGTAGGGAATGAGCATGATTCCTAGTGAATCAAGGTTTCTATTGGTTGGAGTCACAGGGCTATTCTTAAAAGGCAAGAATTGTCCAAAGTAAGGCCAGGTAAATAAAGCAGGGAGGTTGGAGCATTGCTCTCATTGTAATGCTGATTTCAGCTGAACCTGCCTGGAGGTTCCTGCCGTAATGCATCTCATTCCAACCAAAGATCATTGTCTTTTTATTTCAAGATCCAGTTGGTTTTGCAGCTGGAATGTGGAGAATATTTTGATATCATTCATATTTATGTCCTTTTGATTTGCATTCATGTAGATTCTGTTCTTTCATTTTAATATCTGTTTTTCACCAGTGAGATAGATTACACAGTGGCACCCATTTGTTTTAGTAAGGGCGATGCAGGCAACAACGAACAGAATTGCTGAAAGGCAAAGGGTTCCACAGAATGGAAGGCAGTAAGATCACTGTCTCAGAGCTTCTCCTTCATTGCTGTTAGGATATGTACAGCGGTCTGATTGGACCCCTGAAGATCTGCCGGAAAGGTGTGCTGCAATCCGATGGGATTAGGAAGGAGGTACAGAGGGAGTTTGCCCTACTGTTCCTGGTGTTTGATGAAAATCAATCCTGGTACTTGGAGGAGAATGTGGAACGTTACAGTCGTGGGAATCACAGAGAAATCAACCTGCTGGATGACGTGTTTGTGGAAAGCAACAAAATGCATGGTAATACCTATTAGGCACCTTGACACCCTTTACAGTCTGTGCCAAGTTGATGTTCATTCTGTGACCTCCTCTAAATGTCAGAAGTCCAAAAGCCAGAAACCTGATACTTAGTGAATGCCCTCACCCTTTCCCTTCATCTGCGGCACAAACAGAATTAAACTGTGGTGCTCTCAGCACTGTAGCACACATAAGGCACAAGTCTTTGGTCTGCAAGGAAGGTTAATCATTATGGTCCTCCCTGTCAGGAGGAACTGCAAGGTACGAGTCAGAGAGGTTAATCTCTAATGTATCTGAATGACTCAGGATGGGAAATACAGTCAAGAGGTGAAATTAATGTCAGACTAATTCATTCTGTTCATCTGAGGATCATTAGAATATGTTAATTTTCAAGATAATTGATCAAGCTGTGTGGTCGCACAGATGAGTTGTTTTAGCTGATTACCAAAAAGTTACTTCTGCTTTAGTGGGTTGTTTTTTTAATAAGTGAATATACGATTTATGATAGCCTACTTCCACATTAAATCTGGATCAATCTAAAGTATCCACAGCAAAATGAGTCCCTCAACAGGGGAGGGTAAGGGCAAAGAGTTGTTATATGTATTATCATTACAGCTGTGTCTTTGTAAGTGATAAAAAGAATCTCCAAATGTTCACATCCTTTAAGTTATAATCATCAACCCAATATTATAGGTAGCAAATCAACACACAGAAGTTGTTTCCTGCTTTGGGCTACAGGAAGTCCCTGTAGCAGAACTGGAATTAAAGCACAGGTGCTTCTTGTCCTCAAATCATGTCTCTTTCCATCTTATTTCCCTCTATCTTCTGAACATGGAGGTTTCCCTCTGTGCCATATCACTCAACTCGGTCCCTGTTTTGGTTCCTTTCCTGCATTTGTAATCAGAGCAGTTTTCCTTCTTACTGTGGTAACTATGAAGCTAAGTCCGCACCATACAGTGATTTTTTTCTACAAATGATCAGTGTGTAAAGCATGGAGCCAGCATGAGACCTACTATGACAAGGCTGCCTGTTGGCTGGGTTTGCCTGTTTTCCTTGCTCAGTAAGTAAATACTCAAAGATGCGTGTGCATATGTGCACCAATATATGCACTTAGCTTTAGATCAGGAAGACATTTACCCTTCCTGCCTTCTAGAAGCAACTTTCTCTGCTGGCTGATTTCAGGGCTTTATATGGAGGATGCTAAATGCTGATGCCTTGGCTTTTGAATGAGCTTTCAGACCTCTAACTTGCCATGCATGTTCTGCAGAGACAGTGCAGCATCTTTGCCATTTCAGTAACAGCCATTTCTGCTTCCCCATTGCCGTTTACTGCTCAGCAATCAATGGGAGGCTCTATGCAAACTTGCCTGGACTGACCATGTTCCAAGGAGAGTGGGTGAACTGGTACCTGCTGGGAATGGGTCAGGAGATTGATGTCCACACAGTCCATTTTCATGCTGAGACCTTCACATACAAGGTAAGAATATCCTGCTGCTTGTAAAGCAGAGGCTGACCACAGGTATCATCACTTTTGCTTGACTCTGCCTTGGAACTCCTTGCATGAATTCCCAGCAATCATCTAATTTGCCTAATTAGGACAGGGATATGACTTCATACAGTGCTGATGCATGTAGCTAACCCTTGGGATCAGGCATTACTAGATTATATTAACTTTTCCAGCAACAGGCCTGGAACTGCTTTTTGAAATCTTTTGTAAACTCTGCAGAATGCTCTAAATTGCAGAGCTTTATAGTGACACTAAGATCTTCACTTCTCTAGATGGATTTTTTTTTAAGAGAAATGTTTCTCAAAAGTGCTGTACGCTAACAGCCTCCCTCCCTTTGACAGAATGGCAAAGGCTACAGAGCAGATGTTGTGGATCTATTCCCTGGGACCTTTGAAATGGTGGAGATGTTGCCTGGGAACCCTGGGACGTGGCTGCTTCATTGTCACGTCTCTGATCATATTCATGCTGGCATGGAGATACTCTTCCATGTCTTGCCCAAACCAGGTAAGGAATGAGTGGCAATTGTTATCATAAATGTCTAACAACACTTTCTACTATTACTGATAAATTCTGAATGTTTACATCACACTTGCAAGTCCTTTACCTACTATAAATAGGCAGGTAAATTACTAGCACTTAGGTAATTAAGGTGTTCCCTTTGAAAGTTGCAGTAGCTGCAGCTGGAGTTGATTACAATTCGGTTTCAGGAGTTTCCATTGCCTAGGGTATTATGAGGTTTATTTTAGCTTGTGTTCATCTGTCAGCTAGTAATTGTCCTTACTGAAATGTTACCTGTTATCTAAATGCATGTCCTAAGGCGTTTAACTTCCCCAGGAAATACTAGAAGGTGCTCAAAGGCAAGTGGCACTCAAAGGTTTTGATCATGCTCTTTTTTCAAAAGCTATAAAGTTGTGCAATGGGAGTAGGTGTGCTCTTGAGGTAAATAATGCAAAGCCTTCTTGATTTAATGTGGGAGAGTGAAAGCTTTTACAAGAGAAAATAAAACTGCAAGCACTGGAAGACCACTCTGTCCAGATCTGATCCTTGCCAAAAGCAGTGTCCTGAACTCGCTCCCTCTTCAGTCCAACACTTTCTCACCTCCTTGTTGTTTCCTTTCAGAGCCAGCAGCTGAAGTCCTGAGCTACACTGAAGGTAAGGTATGCATGGCCCTGCCGAGTAGTGCGTGTATGTATGAGGGAAAGGAGGAATGTAGATGGGCTGCTCCTTAGCAGTGCAGAGATTTAGATTTATACAGGGAGAAAAGCAGGAACACAAAGAACCCCACTTCCCTGGTAGCAGGAGCGACATCTCAACAGTCATGCTGGGCAGAGTATAAATGCAGAGGTCTTGTTAGTGTTGGGCTTGGCCAGTGGTGGGTAATAGTGAGGGTTTCAGGCAAGCTTGCCTATCTATTTTCTAAACATCTCTCTTCTCATGGTAAGAGTTTACAGGAGAATCTTGCAAAACAGATTTTTTTTTCCTCTTATCCCTTTCAGTCAAAACCTAAGGAACTTTAAATCAATTATTCTCCCCCTTTTGACTACTAGTGTCTGTATAGTTTAGAGAATATTCAGACACCCAATTACTATCTAAAGGGATTTCAAACATCTCCCTGCTCTGTATTGCCTGAATATGTATTGGGGGCCTTGATGTTGTTTAAAGAACAGATGTGAGATAACATTTGATTCGGCAGGATGAGGGAGGAGTAGTAGGTAAGGTTCTTATACTATCGCGAGGATAGAAGTTCAAATAGTGTGTGGTGGTGACTCCTGATTTTCTGTCTCTCTAGATTAAAAAAAAAAAAACTGCTATGAATAGTTTCAGCTGGGCTGCTTTCAGGGACAGCTTAGGCTGAAAATAGGCATCTATCTACAACTCTTCTGTTTGTGCCTTGATTTTTTGCAATGATGTTTTCTTTGCTCAAAAAGGGAGGATTGGGGAATGTGTCAGAGCATTAGTGACAGTAAGTAATTCATTTTTACACTAGACTCAAAGATCAAGTGTTCACCATGCAAAAGATGATTTATAGTCATTATCAATGCAAATAGCCACCCTTATCAAAAGGATTCTTTTGTCTTGCTGTGGAAGCATAAGAGAATTCAGGGATCTTACAATAGTTGTGACTGAGCAAGTGCATTTTGAAAAATTATGTGACAGGACAACACATGCAGGATGTGCTCAGAAACAGGTGGGGAACTTGCAGTAGCTCCAGTCCTGGCACATGTTCTCATCTCAGTTCTTCTGTACTTCTAGCTCAGCTATGACTCCCCAGGTAGTGACTCGGGGTAGCAGTGGTTAGCTGATAGAACTGCATAGCTGTGAGATGCAGTGAGACACAGCAAAGTTGTGGAGCGGAGAAGGGGAAGAACCACTTATTCTGCAAATGCTTGTATGACCTGAAGGATGATGGTCTACCAAATGGACAGCAGTTGGGTCTGCTTTGATTTGCTTTGGGTCTTTCTTTTACCTCTTCATATTAATTAGACCTTTTCACCTGTGGTATTTCTAGCTCTCATTGGCACTGTATTTTTGTTTGCTCTCAGAGACGCCGCCTGAGGATGAGTCCCAGAAGGTCATGCTGTTTGGAGCTAAGATGGCTCCAGAGCATGTGGAAGCCACAGTCATCATTCTAGCTGTTGCAGGAATAGTGCTCTTCCTGGTTGCCAGTCTCCTCCTGGGAATGGTCATCCATCTCGAGAGGCAAAAGAGGTTAAGGCGCAATAGGAGGTCCATTCTGGATGATGGATTCAAACTCATGTCTAAAAAGAATCAGGGGATATAAGACCCATGTACAGATTTCAGACTGTGCACTTGGAGCAGAGGCTGGATTGCTGTCCACACCAAGACATTGGGGCATCATTTCAGTTCCATGCTAGAATTTTGGAAAGCTAAAGAAGAAACCTGGAGTCCTGACCTCTTTGTATATCTTCCTAAGCACACACTCTCTCTCTCTCTCTCTCTATATATATATATATATAAATATATATATATAAAAAAGAAAATCTCTTCAGCAGAAATCTGAGGACCCTTTCAGTCAACTGAAAAGCAACTTTTTTAAAGAAAAAATTATCCTAAAGCATTCATTTGCCCCAAGAAAGAGCAGAGATGTTTCCCCTACCTTCTTCTCTCCAGAAGACTCTACTTGATCCTTTTTGGTAAAAGAACTTTCAGATTCCAGTCTCGCTCCGCTGTCAGCAGAGCTGGTTTGGGGACTCTCTCCCCGAAGATCTGTAGAACTGTGAACCTTTAAATACTGTGAAGGGAGGAAATAATATTTGGTTTTGTGTGAATCAAATGAGAATATAGAAGAAGAAATGTTGATTCAGACTTAGATCTGCTGTGTGGTGTGTGGTTTTTTTGTTTGTTTGTTTTTGCAAATAACTGGACAGATACAAACTCAGTGCAGTACATGTCACAGTGCCTGAGCTCTTCAAGAGCCATGACAACAGCTGTGCTTTACCCTCACACTTGTTGGGCACATCCTTGTATTTTCATGTAACCCCAGGGAATATGTCTTGGTGTCAGGCACCCTGTCCTTGCACTGCAAAATGAGGCTTTTGCATGTGCTGCAGCATCTTAACGGCTTCTCTGCATAGCAGTCCTGTTGTTCTGTTAGCATCAAGTGCTGCTCCTAAGCATCTAATTCCTTTTGCCATAGGAGGAAGGATGGAAGGATGCTGTGATGTTTTTGTGATGTGGTTTGCTTTTTATTTTTTCTCCTCCCTCAAATACATTTTACTGAAGTTTCTTCCAGAGTTCAGCTGTTTCCAAGTTATTGCTGTGAGCCAGGCCAAGGATTCAGTTGTGTGTGAGGTGAGTTTGTTCTTGGGGCAAAAAAAAGACGTGGAGTTCTTCCTCACCTAATGGTACAACTGCAGTTTTCTCCTGGCAAATTTGACAATGGTGAAGGAGAGAAGGCTGGAGTGCCGATGTAATTTAATAGTGTGGAGCAAGTTTGCCTGTAGTCAGTGAAGCATGGGGTAGTACAGGCCTGAGATAAGGGAATTCTTGCAGGGAGGAAGGAATGTAAAGGGGGCTCTTGCCTTTCAGACAGCACAAAATCAAAAGCATCAGAGGAGGAGAGGACTGCCTTAGCCAGATAAATGTGCATGGGGCATTGCTGTGTGCAGCAGGAGAGGACTGCCTTAGCCAGATAAATGTGCATGGGGCATTGCTGTGTGCAGCACCTTCTGCTGCAGCTTGCTGTCCCTGTGGGGAAGGAGCCAAGCGCTGGGGCCGGTGTGGAGCCAGGAGATTCCTCTTCTTGGCTTTGGGAGGGGCAGGGGCAGAGGTGCCTCCCTGCAGGGTTCCTGGGTCAGCACTGGGCACCCTCCTTGCTGGTGCCTGCAGCAGATGCAAGGAGCTGGTGGCATCGCGCAGGCGGCCACCGTGGCCGTGCGGGCCTGAGCACTGGGCGCCGAGCGGTTCCTGAGGAAGCAGCTGCCGTCCCCTCTCCCCAGTGAATCCCATTATCTACATGGATGAGGGTTATGGCTTCTGCATTTCAGTCTGATTTTGAATTGAAAGGGCAGAAAAGAAATCCTTAATGTGTGGCTTTCAAAGGCAATTAAAGCAGAGCCAGCTACATGGCTCTAATGACAGGAGAGTGCTGTAGGCTATTTCAATATATCAGCTCTGTTTTATTCACAGCACTAGTTATAACATACTTAATCATGTTCAATTCATATTGGGCCTCTGCATATTTCTAGCTGCCTTTTCCTTTGGTAGTAGGGAGAAAGCTCATTAGTTTCCTTTCGTTAGACCTCATTAAGCCTGGTAGGGAGCTGGAGGGCTGTTGAATGCTCTGAACATGGGATTCGTTGTCAGCCCTGGTGCTGCTGCTGCAAACCAGAGATTGAGCTCCACAGCTCTGGGTGAATTCTAGGAGCTATGGCAGCAGAACTAAAATTGGGGCAGAATTGTGTTTATTTTGGTAGTGGTGCGTGTTCTTTCTTCCTTAGGTTTGGGGGGTGGGTGGGAATCAAAAATACATTTTTCAGGTGATGTTAACGGAGGCATTTTGAATGTTTTCTCCAAGAAAGAAGAAAACTCATCCTGTTTCAGTCCCTCAGTTGGTAACTGGGTGCTAAGCTGGAATACAGCAAACCTGTAGGGACATAGGGACTAAACTGGATCTCTTAAATTTGTACAAGTCCTTTAAAGAGCAGGCTCTCAATATTCTTCCAATGCAGCCTTGCTTGGGCCAAGTAGAATGTGAGCCAGAGAGGTGGTTCTCTAGCTTTGGTGGTTGGGCTATGCCTGGAGTCACAGCCCAACCACAGAGGAGGTCTCAACTGAGTGGTGTGTTGGAGAGGACTGTGTCCTCTGCAGAACTCCACCACAGACTGAGAAAACTCTGTGAGACCTCCCCCCTGCAAAAAAAAAAAAAAGTCATTTTGGTGTACTCTGTTGCAACAAAACATAGGTGAGGACAGTTCAGCCACAGCTTCACAACTCAGCCTTGTCAGAAGGTGGCTATACCTGCCCATGGCAGTATGTGGAAGAGGAGAGACGTTTGTGCAGTTCTGTAACTGAGCTGAAGCCTGTGAGCAAACGTTTGCTGTTTGCTTTGGCAGCAAGTCTCCTGTCTGAGCATCCCACGGGAGCTTGTCCGTGCTTATCCCTGGGGCCTGCATGGCTACCACGGAGCCACCTTGAAAGGAAACCAGAGGGCATGATTAGAGGCTGCACATGGCTGTTCTGCAGGTAGATACGGGTGGTGGGCTACCTTCCTTTTGCTCCTGCACAGGTTGGGCTCAATCTAGCATTTAATGGTTCCTCAGCTCTTGTAAAAATGCTGTGAGAGGGGTGTACTCTGTGTTTGGTTCTTTCTAGGCTTCTGTAACAGTGTGGACCATGTGGTATTGTCTGAATCAAGTGTCCAGGGTGAGAACAGTGGTTAAACCCGAAGAAGGGTGTCCTGTGATCCGCGGGTGTGATTTGTCTGGAAATGTAACCGAGGTTTAAGGTGAGCTGTGCTGAGCTGAGGCAGTAGATTATGTAAGTTTTCCCCTGACTCTGCCATTGCAAAATAAACTAGCTTAGCTCAAACTGTGTTCTGGAATGGTTTAAAGTAGTACACACTGAAGAGGATTAGAAGGGCTTGCATAGTCTATTGGTGTGGCTTAGCTTGTGGGGGCAGAGGGAGAGAAATGTGTATCCATGCTTTTTGATTTTTAGATGCTATAGGAAATAAAGGCTGTCCTACTCGACTTGTTTGAGTTTAGAGACAAGTTCGTTCATGAAAAAAGAAAAACCTGTTAGTTTTGCATCAGATGATAAGCTTACATTTCCCATGTTTACTATATTCATTTAAGGCTGTGTTCCTTGTCTTCAATTTAAAGATTACGATTCTTAGTCTCCAATTAGACTTGATAAACTTTCTAAACATTTACCTAGATGACTACTTGCCTATTTAAAGCTACCTACAGTTTTCCAGGTTGTCTTAGATGACAGCTAAAACCAAATTATTCATTTACATGGCAGCAGCTGGATGTTTGCTGCAGAATGAAATGAAAAGCCCTTTATTAGTCCTGTGAAGTTGCTCAGTAATGAGCATAATTAACACGACATTACTTCAACTGGCAGACAATTGCTTCTCTATTCCCCACGAGTGCCAGGGCCAGTATTCTCGGCTGATGGCTTTTTATATGCCCACTAATGGCACAGATGTGAAAAACAGGCAAGTAGGGTGCTCTTTAGATTTACACATGGAAATACAAAGTGCTGTCTTGATTTCAGCACAACCCTCCCCTCAACACAAAAGTTAATGCCGGGTTAACCTGAGACACACTGTAAAAGACTAACACTAGTAATTGCCAGAAGAGGAATTTTAATGCATTTCAGGTGTAATGGCTTCTTTGCTTCTGAATTGAATAATGTGTGGCTTAGCATGCAGCTTGCTTTGTGAAGAATAATCACTATGTGGACTGTTTGCAATGATTATAATTTTGTTGGCACAGCAAATAACAGCAGAGGTCCTGAGCCATGTGTATTGCCTGAGGAAATAAATTCAAGCACAATAGCTGCCAAAGCAAGACAATCTTTGTGATTGCAATCAGAGGTTGGAACTGAGCAAAAGGAAAGGCTGGTTCAGTTTATTCCCTGTCAAACTTTGATTTGCCAGCAGAGAACTTTACGAAATGCTCTTGAAATTACATTTCCTGGATGTGTTGTGGTCAAATTGTATTACTGTTCTAATTCTTAAAGCTGTCCCAATCTTCTGCTCTTCAATGGAAGGTTCAAGAAGTGGATACCTGCCCATGCAGGCCGAGAGAACGGAGAGGCGTTTTGGAATGACAGTGTGCTAGAACCAAGCGAGAGCGCCAAGGAAGCAGAACTGGAAAGAGATGACATTCACTGGCAAGGGAGGATGACAACAAGAATTGTTGGTTAAAGAGTGGCAGTAGAAGAAACTTCTGATCAAGATTATTACAACACTGAATTAAATTAGCTGAATAAGGATAGTAGCTCAGAAAATACATTTCTTCTGCTTGCTGCTCCCTTTGCTGTGTTGAGGTTTTCCAAGCTCTGCAGGCATCCCTGAGACGGGATCTGGCAAGGGCTGGAGGGCAGCTCGGGGGTGAAGGAGATTCTCTCTGCACGGGAAGTGTCTCAGGACCTGGGGTCTCCTGCAGGCCTGACAGGTGGGGCACGCATGGGGCTGAGGGAGGAGCAGGGCCGCAGCAGCGCGGCCCTGTCAGTGGCTGCTCTTCAGGCTCCCTGTGGTGTCTGTAAAGCCGCTCAGACCTTTCAAAAGACCTTTCAAGCTCGGTCTTTGCCTCCTCAAGCTGTTTTTATTGATCCTACATTGCTCTTAGCCTGTCTGTTTACTATTCGTACCTCATTGTTAATAGAGAAGCTACCTTTAAACAACTTGGTAGAGTTTGGGAATAGATTGTGAGGGGCAGCACAATGTCCAAACCAACCACAGAAGCATTTGAACTCTTTTGTTGCTAGATAAAGTTCAAGAGAAAGGAGGATGAAGGGGAAAACAGAAGAAATATGCATAAATGAGATACCAGGCTTTCCAAAGCATGATTAATTTAGTCATAGACAATTCTGGTGACATGGGGAAAGCAGGTTCGGAAAGGTGGTTGATGAAACAGCTTTTACTGGAAGTTAACATGTATGGTGTTTCAGTTTGGTTACAACTGGTCTTGGAAATCAATGTGTTTAACTTTCACCTATCTGGGTGAAGTAAATCTATTACTCAGCAGGTGTTCTTTGTAAACCTCATATTCTCTGTTTTCGTTTTGGAGAAGAGAGGCTTGCTTAATGGTATGTTCTTTAAACCAGGGGAAGAAAGAAATAGGTCACCTATCCCCCAAAGAGCTGCAGATGAAGAATAAAAGAATAAGTTCTACGGAGAAGACAGAGGCAAAAAGCCTCTTGGGTGAGGGATGGTTAAGCAGGTGTGATACTGCTGCCACTGCTCAGGAATTTAATCTACCCAGAGCAGGGCACGGGGAGAAAAAAGTCTGCATTATTCAATATCATCAAGAATACTGAAGAAAATGCATCTTTCAGTACAGGAGGAAGTTTTGAAATCTATCGTTGTAAGGAAAACCCTGCTTACAGCATCTTCCTGTCTAGCTCTTACTTTTTACGTTCAAGGGTTATTTTTTTAATGAAAGCTTACATCCCAGAGGTGAGCAAAGAACAGCCTTTTGCTTTGAGTCAAGCTGATTTGCTTTGAGAAATGCCCAAGAATACAACAAAACCTGGGACCCCTAGAAAGTGTGGTTGCACATCTGTGTATTTTCTTTTTTAACAAACTTAAACAAGAACATTGACTTTTAAAAGCAGGTTAAATGTGAGCTGAATTACATCAAAGTGAAAGTACTGCAGTGCCCTGGCTTATCTACATGGTGTAATAAACTCCGTATTCTTTGGTCTTCTTTCACCAATATTTCGTGAGTATTTAATAAATAGGTAACAAATAGATTTAACCTCAGAACCCTTCCTTTCTGCCTCTCCTTTTTGGTACAAAAGATTTATTATTTATTATTTTTTTTAAGGGAGATCTGTGGTTTCCTTACGTTTCAACTTTGTCTTAAATGCTTAACGCTGTCTCTATAAATGACTGCACAGATTATTTTACACATGCATTTTTTGCACCAGCCCAATTCACATATGCACAACATCTTACTAAGTCATCTGCCCATGTGAGGGGAGTTGTTATTGTCCTTGGAGCTTCTCCCAGTCCCTTTTCCAGTGGGGATCTCTTCTTGCATGAAGACAGGGCAGATTTTGAATAAAAAGTCTTACACTTCTGCCTTGCCATATTGTTACAAATACAGTTATATATAAAGCCGAGCAAGACGAGCCCTTTTTCACTTCTGGAGCCAGGCAATGCTTTCAAGATCCTTTTTGTTTCACAAAAAAAGCACAACCAACTTTTTTTGACTGGAAGGTTTTGCTTCATTAAAAATGAAACTTGCGTTCCCATTTTGCTGAGGGAGTTTTATGTCAAAACTATGAATTCCATTACAAAGGTTTTCACATTGAAGTATGGAAATGCTTTCAGTTTCTAAAGATGTTTTGATGCTATTGGAATTTTTCGCTTAATTTTTAACAAGGTATAACAAATTGATGTTTCAAAAAATAGATATTAGTACAGTCTTCACACAAGTTCTCTCTGACAGCTCTTATTCCTTTGCATTTCAATATATTTAACCAACCCCTGCTGTCACTTGTAACATGTAAAAATACATATTACTGGAAGGTGTTTGCAATCAAAATAAACACAAATGTTACTTAAGCTAATTTTCAGATATGAAAAGAAACAACTGTATTAACTGTGTGATTTACTCAAGGTCAGAGAGGAGTAAACTCTTTAGGCCAGTACTAGAGCCCACAGTTTGGGAATTGTCCTCTTTCTGTATACATTGATATAAAAGCACAATAACTTTCTGGCCAGCCCATAAATAAATCCATCACCCCAAAAGAGAAAGAAAAATATACCAGGAAAACCCTTAAATATGTTAGCAGAGGAGCCACTGCAGTATCTTAGGAGCTTTCATTCATCCAGAGTCCCGATAGCCAAACAGAAACATTTCTGTTCTGCTGCTTACCAAGAAGCAAAGGTGGGATTTTTAGTACAGTGGCTTTTAGTTCCTCCTGAGCCCCTCCCCATCTATCCACTTCCTTCTACACCTATGCTCTAGCTCAAGACGTAGTTGCAAGATTTATGTAGAGAAATAACTCATCTTTTAGTTTATCTGCAGCCTTTGGTGATCTTCAGCTTAGAGGAGTTTCATGAATTGGTCCAGAAGAGCTAGCCAGGATCCTTTGGAAAAGCTAACAGCCAGTGAGAGATGCTGTAACCAGGTAACCATTGTCATGATCGTTATGCTCTTAATGATATTCCTGATTCGTAGCTCAGCAATCGCATCCTTGTAGGTGCTATTCTCTTCCTATAGTGAATGGGATTCTTTGGCTGGAAGGTTCACCGTGAAATTTCGAATTGCAGATGTAATAAATATAACGTTTCACAGTTTTATGAAAGATCCTTTTGGAAAATGTTGATGTTAAGGCTGGGTGAAGCTTTATGAAAGTTTGTTAAAACTGACTGCAATGTTTCATTAGCCAACAAATTCCCAAGGGCTGATCCCTTGTCACAGTATCCATGTGAAGATAAGTCATAGTGTCATTGTCTACCTTAGAAGTGGAGGAGACATGAGGAAAGGAGTCCTGAATGATTCTGAACAGTATGAACTGTATGAACCATGCTCATACAGTGGGTAGAAATGCTCAAGAGCACCAATCTAGTCAAAACTTAATTTCTGTGTATGCAGGAATAATGAGGAGGCAGTTGGCTCATGAGTGCTTATATAGGGCTTTAGGAAGAGAGGTTTTTGGATGTCTAAAAACTTGAATATAAACAAGTTATCTTGATATTTCCCACTATCACACATACAGCACCTTCAATCTTACCTAAAGGAACATCAGTTTTGCAGAATTAAAAAAAAAAAAAGAGAGAGAGAGAGAATTTGGTGGGTTTTGAATACTTAAGTGAAATGAAGTTTCACTTAAGTAGTTTCATCAATCGTTGTTTGGTTCGATTATGAGTTTCATCAATCAGTTTGGTTTGATTTTGTTCCCTTGTCCGAAAGAGCAAATGTGATGTCTTTGCCTCAGGTTGAAATTTTCTTTTCACACCTTGGCGTCATTTACTTTGAAACTCCTGCAGCCACATGCAAGGAACCATTTAATCCAACTCTGGTCATAGAGGGGGGGTACCTCTCAGAGCTGAGGGTTCTCTTCCCTGTTCCCTGTGCTTTGCCGTATCCTTTCAAAGCTCTTGGAAGATTTCAATTAGCATGTGTAAATAATAGACCATTGCTGCTACTAATTGGTCTTTTCTTATTCAGTCCAATATTTCCAACCAGCTCTGAGCAAGGGACTCACATTGGAGTGTAAAATGTATTGCACCTTATTTCTAGTTTTTCCCCTAGACACTGTCTGCTTAGCTAAAGGACAGCTGTGGATTGCTGGGCTGAACTCAGAAATTATGAGTGGGGGGGGAAAAACAAGGTGGTGGGAAGACTGACATTAAGTGAACCAGAAATAGCACAATAAATATAAAGCAGTGATCTGTTAGGTCCTGAGGTTTCCCTTCTTTGAGCTTTTTTCAACGAAACATCTAGATCTGCACAATGATTCTCATATAAGTATTAAGAAGCTATTCAGTCAATTCATTTAGGTTTGTAAGGATTTTCCTTAGAAATCTATATTCTGTTGACATCACTTACAAGGAGATAAATGGGAGGAGAGTTTTTCTCAGCATGTACGCCCCATTATTAATTGTTTAATACCAGTATGTTCTTACATAAAAACAAAAACACCTAATAGTTTGCAGCAGGAGTTGAGACCTTTAAATACTATTAAGTGTTCCTATCAGCACTATCAATTCATGCTCATTTGTTTTTCGGACACCTGAATGGTTCAGCTTTCTGAGGTGAATGATTTTTTTCTTCATTCTCATCAGCTTTTTTGGCCATTGAGGTGTGCTGATAGGAACACTTAATACTATCAATTCATGCTCATTTGATTTTCGGACACTTGAATGGTTCAGCTTTGAGGTGAATGATTTTTTTCTTCAATCTCATCAGCTTTTTTGGCCATTGAGGTGATGTAAGAAAGATATACGGAGATGTGCCTGCAGCACAGGGGATGCATGGTGTAATTGCAACAACCTGACAGCAATGCTTGATGACACCGATTAATCATTGTGTTTATCTGCTCTGAAGGCCATAAGGACCACAGAAAAACTGTTACCCATTTTTCTTTGCCTTGTAGGAATTTATTTGCCTTTCTTTGCCTTTGCTCGCAGGAATACCTTATGTACACAATCCTGTATATCTTATATCCTAACCATATTCTATGTTTTTTCTGCTTAATTTTCTACTTTTTAAAAAGTAGAACAATTTTGGGAATAACAAAGTCATAGACTTTTCCTCCATTTGTGTTATCTGCATAACACTCATATAACTGCTGATTTCACTGGAAAGTCTTGATTAATTTTAGAGATTAGATGATGATATCAGCCCAACAGAGACCACCCTGTTGAGCAAACTGCACACTGTGCATATGTGTGAGCTTCAGAGTCAGGTACAAATTGCTGTTTCTTTTTACTGTTAGAAGTAGTTTTGTAACTTGTCTGAATGTTGAAAGATTATAGATAGTTTTGACTATAAGCAATGGACCTCGCTGAATTTAGGGGCTGATTTTAGTTCTGCAGCGGTGTTGCATGTTGCCATGCTAAGGCATCACGACAAAAACTGCAGAGAGGCAGAGCTTGTGTGGCCCAAGTAAGGCAGATGATGTAGTTTCCAAAACCACCTTCTCCAAAAGTTCCAGGTTTTGCCTCTGCTTACCAAATCTTACTGAGAAGAACTCACAGTATATGAGTTCATCAAACACAGCTTTTCTGAGGCGCTTGCAAAATACACACGTTCACCCTCATCAGCCCTTCACTCCTGATTTCCTGGTCCTTGTGCCCAGATGACACTGAGATTGCAAAACTGACTGTTGAGAAGCAGCTGCCCTAGAGAGGGTGGACAGTGAAGCCTTTCGGCTCACCTGTGCACACGGAGCCGGGCAGAGGCCTCGTGATTCCCGACGGCTCTGGCACAGGGTGAAGCAGATAGGAGGCGAAATAGAAATGAGAGAGATGGGACAACACGGGATTCTGCACCTCTCACTGGAGCATGTACACGTGGTTGCACGAATCCTAGGGAAAATGCAGCCACAGTAAGTCTCCTGCAGATTGCTATGACTCCTGTCTTGAATCTTGCAGAGTTAACCATGGGATTATTTTGTGGTCGACTTTAAACTTTTTAACAGCCCCTTGAAAGGAAACAGCTCATCAGTGTCTGTTGGTGGAGAGTATTTGCTTTCCTTTAATACTTCATGTCCAGTGAAGAGTCCCAAATTCCAACAAAGTATTGAGATACCATCTTGCAGTACATCTGTGAGCAAGTGGAACCACTATTTCATTTTTAAAAATGACTTCCCCTTGGGCTTCAAGACTTTTTATTGATATAGAAATGTTGGTCCGGGATGTAAGATTTCCCTAGAATCTTTTTGGCAGAGGCTATTGGATGTTTTACCAGAGGCAGATAGGAGGAATCTTATCCCAGTAATTCATGATACACATCTGTTTTATATAGATTAGGTTATTTTCCAGACTCTATTTAGCTCTTTCTCATTGTTGCTGATTGCTTTCTTTTCTTTTGGAAATGAAGTGACATCCAAAGGAAGGAGTTTAGAAGAACTTTAATTGCCTCTCTTATTTATCCAAGTGAGGCTAGATCCAATCCAGCTGCTGTGTTTTATGATCCTGTACTGTAATGAATAGATCCATTACTGATTGCTCTGTTGTCATCCTAGCTTAAAGTGGCAATTATCACCATTCATTTTGGATGGAACAAGTAATTTAATTTTGCGTCATTCTGGTCCATTAAGAAATCTGTCTTGTATAATAAAAAAAATGTGTTGGATACCACAGTGATAGAAGGAGCTTGACTTACTTGGGATACTTTTCAAATGGATATCCTTAAATTAAACCCTACACAAGACCAACTAAGCAGATTACAGCATGTACAATGCTGAAATCCACAGCCTCAATCTCAAATGTTTCATTTGAAGTCCCAGCCCAGACTGCTTCAGCTCTCTGACACCTACTGATGTCAAGAGAGGATGTACCAGCACCTCGCACATCAGAGGTTATGCATAACCCTGTTCTGCTCTCGTAGGGATAGTGTTGTTCTTGTCACAGGAAGGGACCCTTGGAGGACATGCCTGGATTTTTTATTTCTTGTTCAAATTCTTCAGTGCAGGAACAGATGGATTTTGCTGTTGGGAGATGTTT